ATGAGAAGACATACCACCAAACTGGCTCCATCCATAAAAACATCTGATCTTTACAACTACAAAAACTGGCACAAAAGAGAAGCCATCGGTGACACCGGACACTGCATTATTCCGGCTGCTGATCCTTTAAGTGAGTTTCTATTTTAAGAGCCTGGGTGTCAACAGTGTTTAATTTAATCAGCTTCTCCTAGGTTAAGAAGGAAATTGGAAATCCGAGTGAGTGCAGAGACAAGTCGTCATCGTAGGTGTCACAGAGCAGAGGGCAGCTCTCTCTATCCATCCTGAAGGTCAGGAGCGACCTTGCAGGACAATCCTTTGACCTTCCCTATTCATCTAGATGTTATCGAGATCTACTCACTGCTATTTGGGGAGCTCTCCCAGCGTCATAATTGGTCAGGTTGTGGGACAGACCACAGAGTCATCCCTGCTGGCTCTGACAAGGACATTTTAGGAGCTCTAGGTGAGAATTCAATGGATTCTAACCCCGTCACACAAGCACATACAAGGCCTTGTATGACCAAGTGTCAATATATTTTCCCAGGCTCATTTCTTAACACTCTAGTTTCTGAGTTTGTAGAAAAATGCCATTTGTAGAATTTCCGATGATTCATGTTTCCAAAGAAATTGCCTAATTTCACCTGGAATTGCCTTCATTTTCTTGTCTACCAGGAAGTAACTGTTCCTCCAAGCTTCCTCAGATACCATCACTTAAACTTTCTCTGATTTTCTTCATCCCCACCTACACTTCATACTCCACTGACTCTGAGTATGTCATGATTTGTGCCATCATCTACCACAGTCCTCCTTATGCGCCTATGTCTACTTAATCCCTGTGGCCTAACACTTAGCACCATGCCTTGTGGGTGATAAGCACTAATGTTTGATGGGCAGCACCAGGAGATCTGATGGGGGGGGGGCATTTGCAGATCTAAAATGAGAATGCTTTTCCCTCGAGATCAAACCTCAACTTATCTCCAAATCTGTAGCGCTGTGGGTGTTAGAAAAATGATGTCGTTAAGTCTACAGATTATAGTCAGAGACTTAGATTTTAAACTCAGCACCACCATGGCTTACTCAAGTGCCTCTTCCTGCCTCAGTTTCCTCCCATTTAATGATAATACAAGAGTGTGGTATACTCACCAAGGTGCACAGTGTGTGGAGAATACGACACAAACCCTGTTTACCACAATCATGATTTGGTAAATTCATCGACTACAATTCTCCACAAGCTAGATTCTTCCCAGCTATTCCGTGTCTGATACGTGTCTGGAGAACTTAAGCCCTTCATCTGCTCAGCGCCTCCGTATCTGCCTCATGTTCCCTTCCTTTGCATATGGCCACCTCTAGATGTCTGCTGCTTCACAGGAAGGAGCATGGCATGGCACTTCTCTTGGCAACCTCGCTCTCCCTCGCCACCCTCCTACGCTAGAGAAATTCCATGTCTGTGAGGCTCCCTGTTACCATGTGCTATATCACCTTTCCTGATGAGGCTGCCTCTGCTCACTCCAGATAGAGAGAGCAACGACAGACCAAAGGAACAATTCTGCTCAAGTCCAGCTTGGCAAAGCGTGGACTTTATTGGGACTCCTTACAGAGACGTGTGGGACTTAAAGGTGGTAACATCACTGAGAAGCCCACCCCCCCAGCATGGGTGACAGCTCACAAACCCAGGACCCTAGGGCATGATACACAACCTGTCGGCAGCTCAATGGGTTAGATAGAGAGTGTCCCTTTCTGGGTAACTCAGTTGGCCGAAACATTTCCAGACAGCTAGTCTGGTTTCTGCTTCTAGGCAGCTTTTCTGGTCTGAGTCTTCTTTGTAGCTCTTCTCCACTGAGAGTCACCCTCGAAACTCGGCTTCATTTCTGTTTTGGCAACTCAGCTTGTCTGCGTCTTCTTCGGTTGGTCTAAACCTCCTCCAGACTTCTTGGCTGGTTTCTGCTTCTTCTGGGCAGTCGGTCTGATCTGAGCGTCCAGCTTCGTTGTATCTAAGAGGGACTCTCAGCTTTTATTACTTACTCACACAAGGAGGGGTGGGGGTCTAGTGAATCTAGTCGGTTTCAGGGACTTCCTGAAGCTGTCTTAAGTTGTTTACCTTCCTGTTAAGGAGTGTCCTGCAGGATGGGATGTTTCTATCTCAGAGGAAACCATTGCATAACAGTCTCAAGCCATCGGATGGCCATATCATGCATAGAGCTCCACTGTGGTATACTCAGTCTGCCTGATGAGCTGGCTCTTTGGTCTTTGGAGGGATCTCCCCCATACCCTAACTTCTTCCCAATGGTCCTCCCTCTGTCTGGGCACAAGGCTCAACCCTTCCTCCTGCACTGAATCTGCTGCCATTTCTGATCTCTACCCCACACCGAGCTTCTTTAGATCCCTCTAAACCTGTCTCAGTGGGCTGTGGTTCGCCTTTATTTCTATCTCTGGCCACAATACCCACCTACTGTCTGCAATGCACCTTTTCCCTGCCAGGTAACTATTGGTCTCACCACAGCCGATGAGGGAGTTGGTTGACCCCGATGAGTTCCTTGGGATTCTTTTCTTTTAAGAATTCATACAAGTATGCATTCGATTTTACTCCCGTTTGTTAGCTTTCACCAAAGCCATCCAAACAGACCAACTGTTCCCTCCCAGCTGAGACTTGGAAGAGAAAGCATTCCAGCTGTTGTGGACAGTAGCTCAATGGGCCAGGCCTTTGGCTTTTTATTCAAATGACCTTTCCAAGCCAAACTTCAGGGTTATGCAATATTTTTGGTGGGGCTTTTTATATACTACTACTACCACCACCACATAATTTGAAGAAATGAAATGGCTTTGTAGGAGATACAAATATGAGAGTCTAGTGTCTTAAATGGTCAACTGTTTTCCCCAAGAATTGTAATTAGAAACAGCCCTGGCCTGCCATTCATTTACACTCTCACTCAGTTGAAGTGATAAAATTTGGGGGAAAAAGCAGAGGGCTGTGGAGAGAGACTGTGCATAAACACATTACTCTGAGATTACAGGTATCACAATCCTTGAAACATTTACTTCCGCATCATTGAATGCATTCGTGTTGTCTGTAAGATGACTTCTTGCCTTAATTTTTGCTCTCGTAGAAGTCTGTATAAATGTGTATGGGCCCCTGTGAAATCGATTCCTATGTGCTATGTTCCTCTTATAGGACTGTATTTGTAAGGAAGACCCATTTTCTAAACATAGGGCCACTGTACCATGAAGAAGATGCTCCCAATACTAAAGGTTCATGTCCTTCAGAACAGAAGGGAGTTGAGTACTTCTGTTTCCTAAGCGAAGAAATCACACACGACGATTCCACAAATCATGTTAAGTGGATATGGGAAAGGGAGGGGAGGGTGAGGGGAGAAACATCCTGGTTTACAGCCTTCTGAGAGATGATTCACTCAACAATCACGGTTCTTTTTCTCCATACTAAAAAAGCAACAGGGCCGAAAGGCACTCAATCATCTTCCCCAGAGCCAAGAACACTCTCCAGACAACTGCGAGCTGATGGAGAGAGAATCAGTCCCCCCTCTCACCAGGCATCAAGCTGAAGCTCCCTGGAGATCGGAGTGGAGGTCCCCTACACATGTGCATTCCAGCAACCCACTCCCACATTTAAGCTGCTGTTCCCTGGAGTCTAGTGCTAAATATAGCGCCTGCAATTTCAGCCCGACAGAAAACTCCGACCGCGCTGGGAACTGAATCTTCCCCTTCACATATTCCTAATATGGTCAGCTGCGCAGCCTGCAGCCTGGGAGCCAGGGCTGACTCTTCACACTGTCCAAGCTTAACCCTTCGGTGGAGGACAAAGGGGAAGCTGGACTGACCAGGGGTCACGGCAGACTCTCTGTTACATATCGAAATAAATCAAATGGCTGTGGTCTAAACAGGGTCCAACCTGATTCCCAAATGGAAACATCTTCAGGGGTGAGCATTCCATCACGGAAGCGGGTCAAGATGGACCAAATGAGAAAAGAAAATGAGGCAAGGAAGCACACGTGATTAATGTTTTCCAAAACAGGGATGCTGAGGAGACTGATAATTATTGCCACCCACCCCCCCTCTGTGTGTCTGCTCTGTGACAAGAGCTACCATCCAGGCCACAGAGAAAAGCATGGCCTTGCAGGTTTTCTCCAACAGAGCAAGTGGGGAGCAGAAGATGGACCCAGATGCAGGTCACCCAAGGGGCCTCCAGTGTTCTTGTGATATAAGCAGACAACCCGAAGCTTAGGACCATTCCTCTTCTCAAAGAGCCCACCGCAAAGCGAGAGGCTGTGCATACTGAGTAATAAGGAAAATGCAGCTGGCAGTCAGACAGTTAATGGACCTAGTCACTTGGTACCATGGGGGTAAATACTGAAAGCCTTTTGGTCAGTTCCCATGTACTAAGGGTCTGGCGACAACATGCTTCTCTCTGAAAATGTGGAATTTCTGCACGGCACATTCACCACATGGCTATTCCGAGTATCCCATGATTTGGTATGTGTCTATCAGAAGATGGGAAAGTAAAGACTCAGAATCAATTCCCTCAAGGACCGATTCCCTCAAGGGTTCAATGTGGGAGCTCTCTAATATGGGACCAGTGCTGTTCTGCAAAACAGACCAGCAATGCTGAGCTGGTTTATTTTCTGGAGGCTTTTATTATAAAAAAATGTTTTTGCTCCTCCCCTCCCGAAAAGGTCAGAGTCTCCTACAGGGACATGGAGGAAGGTTTTAAATTAGAGATGAGATTGAGTCTGGAGTTATTTGTGACAAAAGGTCTGGACTCAAAGTCTGCTAGTCACCATCTAAGTGAAGGTCTGTTGTATCCCAGACGTGATTTTCCCCGTTGTCTGGCACTGCTGTGACCCTGTCCAGGTGTGTCTGCTTCATGCATCCCCACCTTTGCTGAGCAGCCAGGGGACCACACCCTGTGTATTTGCTGGGTTTTAGAGGATAGTTAGTATAGTCTCAGATTGCAGACTGGATTCTCTCCCTCCCCCTAATTCCCAAATAACCACTCAGAGGCTTAATGTTACTTATAAATGCTTAGCCAATAGGTCAGGCTTCTTATTAGCTAATTCTTACACTTAAATTAACCCACATTTCTTATCTATGCTTCCCCACATGGCTCATGACTTGTTTTCTCATTTTCTATACATCCTGCTTCCTCTTCGGCTGGCTGGTGTCTCTCCTGTCTCTGCCCTTCTTCATCCCAGTATCCTCTGTGTCTGTCTAGGTACTGGACTATCAGCTTTTTATTAACTAATGAGAGTAGTATATATTCACAGTGTACAGAAGGATTATTCCACAGCAGTATTTTCTGATGAGAGCTGAGACAGGGACAGCCTCTTCTCCCAAACAGGAGAGATACCCCATCGGCTTTGCCTAGGTGTGGAGTTAGAAAAACAAAACAAAACAGCAACCCGTATCTTTGGTCAATTTTCTTATGGCCTGTGGCCTCTCACTCTCCCCTCCCTGCCCCCTCTTTATCCTCTCCCTTCTTGCTGGAAACCTATGTCTGGCCCTTCTAGTTCATATTCTGCCTAAATCTCTCTAAGTTCTAGAGTGGGATGGGCAAGCTGTTTCTATTTCCCAACAGTCTTATTCTCGCATCTTTTTTCTTTTTAATCTTTGTTGTTATATAAGCTCCTAAATGGTGTATGCTCAGACCCCTCTTTCCAAGGGTTCATATTTCTGTATTAAAATACCATACTAATCAAAAGCAACTTAGGGAGGAAAGGGTTTGTTTGCCTTACATATCTCAGGGCACAGGCCATCAAGAGAAGCCGAGGCAGGAAGGCAAGTCAGGTACCTGGAGGCAGAACCTGCAGCAGGAGCCACGGAACTCTGCTTACTGGCTTGCTCCTCACTGCAGTGAGGGAAAGAAGTCAGGCGATATGATGAATAGGAAAATACCTGCAGCAGAGACATGATCTCAGAACGTGCAGTGGAGAGAAACTCTTCTAGAAGGGGTACATTTCACACCCGATAGGTGGGACAGAACTCCGAACTGTTACATACCATTTTCACTAACAGTCCCCATCCAGGTCTGATGTTTGAAGTGTAGGAAACTCACATGACTTTGCTGGCTTGGCTTTCTTTGTGCAAACCTAGAACATGAAGTGTGGCTCCAGGGTCAAGGTCAAATCTCTTTCCTGAAACTTGGTTTAATTCATGTAGCTGGATTGGTAGCAGAGACTGTTGCTTTCTTGAATAAGATGGGGAGGGGGTGGGGGCATGGCTGGCCAGCATTAGTCAGATAAGGAGAAGGAGGAGCATGATAAAATTGGTCATCGGGGAGGGGCTGAGGGAAAAGGACACAAAGGTCGGAAGGCTTACGATAATTGCAAAGGGAAAGAACACTGAAAAAATGTCTTTACAGCAAAGTGGTGGGCGTGCAGCTATCCAGACACCTGTCAGTGCCTGGGTAGCATCTTAGCAACTCAACTGTCTTAGCTCTGACATTTCCTGCCCCTCATGAGAGTTCTGCATCCCAGGCATCTGAATTCTGATGGGAGTTGACCCACACTGAAGAATAGTAGATAGAAGTACAGCTTTCTTTTCCCTCTGGGTCAGGAACTAGAAATGGCTTTCCCCTCTGATTGTATCCAAGAAAGTCAACAGTCTCTGTCCCCACCCAGATGGGTGAATTGACCCCCAGTTTCAGGGAAGACCTATGCATTAGCTTTTTTTTTTTTTGTTACCATGACCAAAGACTTGACAAGAAGCAATTTACAGAAGTTAGTCTTAGCTTGAGACTATCACTCCATCATGGCAGGGAAGGCCTGGGGGTGGGAGCAGGATGCTAGCTGGTCACATTGTATCTATAGTCAGGAAGTGGGTCTAGGCTATAAAACCTCAAGGCTTACCCGCAATGACCCACTTCCCCTAGAAGGGCTCCACCTGCGAAAGTTTCACAATCTTCCAAAAGGGTTGCCACCCGCTCTACCGACTACTCAAATGCATGGATCTCTAGAGGACATTTCACATTCAAATGACAACACTCCTCGCACCTGGCCTCCACAGGCTCAGGACCATCTCATGCTGTCAGATGCATTCATTGCAAGCCCAGAAGCTCTCATCGCCTTCAACAATCCCAAGGCTGTTCAAAAACACAGTCTCTTAAGAGACAAAAGCAACCTCTGACCTGTAGCCCCTGTGATATCAAGAACACACGTCATACACTGAGCATAAAATGCCATGGAGCAGACACTCTGTGAGAGTGAGGAATGGGGACATAGCAAGGAAAGATCGGACCAAGGTGAAGACCAAAAACCAGAGAGACGATGATCACAAACCCTACAGCTCCGTGTCTGGCATCTGGTGCTCTTGATGGAACTGCCTGGGTGCAAAGGGCTTAGACAGATAACTCTACCCCTCCAGCTCCAGCATTTACAGTCTCTCTTGAGCCAGGTCTCACCCATGCTTGCAGCTGAAATTCCCCAACATCCTACAGTTTCCTGGGTGGATTAGGCTTCACCTTCACCGAATCACATGATGGCCACTCAGGACCTCCTTGCAAGGACTTCAACTTTACTAGCGTCTAGCCCCAGCTGTGGAACCAGACCCTATGACGCCCCCCCCTCAATCTTGCATATTTAATTCCTCCAAATGAATACCATGTGGACAATGCTGCCAGGTTGAACCCAGTTAACTCTGTATGCCTTGGTGGCTGGATTTTTTTTTTTTTGGTTTGGAACCCCATACACGCATTCTCAGTTCAAGCTTTCTCCTTTCAAATAGATTTGTGTTTTTGTTAGGTGGAACCTTGCTTGGGTGGGCGGGGTCTTGCTTGTAGGGTGCCTTTCCTCTTGTCTTAGTGAAGAAAGTGCTTTTTGAAAAGTTTACATCCCCCAGTAGTGAGTAACGCCGCCAATGCAATAAGTCAGATCAGTCCAAGTTAGTAAGTTCAGAGCAAAGAGACAGAGCGTGCATTGGGGGGGTGGGGGGGAGGGGGAGGGAGGGAGGGAGGGAGACTGTAGGCGTGGTTTTGAGCAGCCCGGAGGTGGAGCCGACCCTTGGTGGGCTTTCTGCGGGGCGGGGTCTAGAATGGGAGGAGTGAGACCAGAGCATGGAATGGAGCCCAGAGCTAGAGATCCCCAACACTAACACTTTTCTCTTCGATGAAGCTAATCTCTATAACAATCGCAAAGACATTGTCCCCTGTACCTGCTTGTCCATGACTTCATGACTTTAAGCTTGCTTACTGCCTCTGCTCAGAGAGACGCACGTTCGTGTGTGTGTGTGTGTGTGTGTGTGTGTGTGTGTGTGTGTGACATTTGCTGCTTTCTCACTATAAACTTGAATAAGAGCAGTGAGCAGAAGGCATGCCACAGCCTGCGTGCTTTGTTACCTTGAAATTTCCTGCACCGTTCACATTCCGCCATTGTTTTTTGGATTCAGCCTCACTCAGGTTCTTGGGACATGGGTTTTGAAAGCAGATTCTCTGCCGAAATGTAGCAAGCATGGCCTCTGACCCAGTTACTGATACAGTCCTTGTTCCCCTCTGCAACCTCATGAGCTGCATTTCTTTGGACATTCTGCTCTTCCCAACTCCCACCAGAAAGGCCTTGTAAACTACGCTTACAGCATTCTTGGGCTTTTCTGATTCAAAGTTCCCAATTCTTCCACATTCCTCCTACAAAAAAACCCCTAGAATCCAAGAACCATGGCTAGGTTTATCAGCAATAGTCCCACTTCTCATTACCATCTTCTGCATTATTTTTCTCATTGCTATGACAAATACCTACCCCCACCCCCCAAAAAAAAGTAATTTGAGGAATGATAGGTCTATTCTAGATTAGGGTTGGAGGAGATCATCCCACTGCGGTGGAAACGACATGGAGCAAGAGAAGGAGGCCAGCTGGACACACCACATCCCCAATCAGGAATCAGAGAACAGACAGGAAGTGGCACTAGACTGTACAAGCTTTAGACCCACACTCAAGAGACCTACTTCCTCTAGTGAGGAGCCATCTCCTAAAGGTTTCACAACCTTACCAAAGAGTGCCACCATCTGAAGACCAAGTGTCCAAATGCATGAAGCAATGGGGGACCTTTCTCTTTCACAGTAACCGATGACCTTCACTTTAGAGCCGCACGCCATGTTCTAAGTTTTCTCAAAGGAAACAAAAAACAAAACAAAACAAAAAGCTAGCAAAGACAAGGGAGTTTCCTACTTTAGACATCAGATCTGAAAGTAAATCGATAATAAAGCCATACAGATAATCACTTAAATATGTTCCATACAATAGTTCCATGATAGTTAGACCAAAATAATCCATTGATTATATCAAAATAATGAAAATATGAAGCACATTGGTGTCCATTGGTTGAACTTTCTTCCCTCTTTTCCTGACTTTAGTCTTGCTGGTTTGTTAGGTTACATCTGATATAGCTCACCAGCCTGCGGGCAAAAATATCTACGCTGGATTCTTACCTGCCTGAGTCTACTCAGCTTCTGATGGCACAGGGGTTGAAGGGAAAATGGAGTAACTTTTAATTTGGAATGTGCTGAAGTTGTGTTTTTGTGATGGAAACCATTTCTTCCAGGACTCAACACCAGAACTTTCATGAGCTACGAATGAAGAGTGACATAATTCTTAGGCCCTAGCATGGCCTTAAGGGTCTTGTAAAGCATCACTTAAAATTCATGAGGTTTCTTTCATGTGTGCGCTCCTTTGTCTTAGGATACTGAGAGGGTTAGTGGAAGAATCTTAGGAAACACTCATGATGAACAGAAGCATAAATCTGAAGTCTAATGAGCAATGCTGTTCGGCTTTAAGACAGGCGAGCCTTGCCCTTTGTGGGACTTTAAGCCAGTAAAGCCACGGGATCAATACCAGTCAAAAGGTTGTTTTTTCTCTGTTCCAATATGGAGACTGACAAAGGAAAGAATTCTTCCTGGGGAACAGCTCAGAGATTTGTTCCTTCAGAAGTGGGTGAATATGTAGACCATGGCCATTTTTCACAGGAAACATTAGCTGAACCGTTACTTTTTGAAAGTGCAAATTTATTGGGTGGGTTTG